CCGCTCATCATACACCACTTATCATACACCACTCATCATACACCACTTTTCTTACACCACTTATCATACACCACTCATCATACACCACTTATCACGCACCACTCATCATCCAGTTAGCTCTAGTTTCAGCTCCAGGTAGCTCTAGTTTCAATAGCTCTAGCTCCAGTTAGCTCTAGTTTCAATAGCTCTAGCTCCAGGTAGCTCTAGTTTCAATAGCTCTAGCTCCAGTTAGCTCTAGTTTCAATAGCTCCAGTCAGCTCCAGTTTCAACAGCTCTAGCTCCAGTTTACGTGGCAGGCGCAGCACTTTGTCAACCTCAAAGTGCAGATTTCGTGGCAGGCCCAGCACTTTGTGAACCTCCATGTGCAGATTTCGTGGCAGGCGCAGCGCTTTGTGAACCTCGATGTGCAGATTTCCAGCGCTTTGTGAACCTCAAAGTGCAGATTTCGTGGCAGGCCCAGCACTTTGTGAACCTCCATGTGCAGACTTTCTGGCAGGCGCAGCGCTTTGTGAACCTCAATGTCAGATTTCGTGGCAGGCGCAACACTTTGTGAACCTCGCTCGACGGTTGCGGGACCATCTGGCGCCATGGTCGGTCATGCTCGGAATCGTCCCTCCATGGTGGTTAGAGTTTTCGCTTGTTTCTTGAAGTGCAGATTTCGTGGCAGGCGCAGCACTTTGTCAACCTCAATGTGTCAAAGTGCAGATTTCGTGGCAGGCGCAGCACTTTGTGAACCTCCATCTGCAGATGTCGTGGCAGGCACAGCGCTTTGTGAACCTCGATGTGCAGATTGCGTGGCAGGCGCAGTACTTTGTGAACCTCCATGTGCAGATTTCGTGGCAGGCACAGCACTTTGTGAACCTCCATGCTTTTCCGAACCTCGACGGGGAAGCTCCGCAGAACGACGGTTGCGGGACGATCTCGCGCCATGGTCGGTCACGCTCGGAATCGTCCCTCCATTGTGGTTAGAGTTTTCACTTGTTTCTTGAAGTGCAGATTTCGTGGCAGGGGCAGGACTTTGTGAACCTCCATGTGCAGATTTCGTGGCAGGTGCAGCGCTTTGTGAACCTCCATGTGCAGATTTCGTGGCAGGCGCAGCACTTTGTGAACCTCGATGTGCAGACTTCGTGGCAGGCGCAGCGCTTTGCGAACCTCAAAGTGCAGATTTCGTGGCAGGCACAGCGCTTTGTGAACCTCGATGTGCAGACTTTCTGGCAGGCGCAGCGCTTTGTGAACCTGAAAGTGCAGATTTCGTGGCAGGCCCAGGGCTTTTGTGAACCTCCATGTGCAGATTTCGTGGCAGGCGCAGCGCTTTGTAAACCTTCATGTGCAGATTTTGTGGCAGGCACAGCGCTTCGTGAACCTCCATGTGTAGATGTTGTGGCAGGCGCAGCGCTTTGTGAACCTCGATGTGCAGATTGCGTGGCAGGCGCAGCGCTTTGTGAACCTCCATCTGCAGATGTCGTGGCAGGCGCAGCGCTTTGTGAACCTTGCAGGCTGAGAACTGGCGACTTTGTAGTACAACTGTAGTGCGTGGAGGAACCTGGGGAGCTGGAGGCTGAGAACTGGCGACTTTGTAGTACAACTTTAGCGCGCGGAGCAATCTGTGGAGCTGGAAGCTGAGAAAGCTGAGAACTGGCGACTTTGTAGTGCAACTCGAGTACGCGGAGTATCTGGGGAGCTGGAAGCTGAGAACGGGTGATTTTGTAGTGCAACTGTAGTATGCGGAGCAATCTATGGAGCTGGAAGATGAGAACTGGCGACTTTGTAGTACAACTTTAGTGCGCGGAGCAATCTGGGAGCTGGAAGCTGAGAACTGGCGACTTTGTAGTGCAACTTTAGTACGCGGAGCAATCTGTGGAGCTGGAAGCTGAGAACTGGCGACTTTGTAGTGCAACTTTAGTAGCTGGAAGATGAGAACTGGCGACTTTGTAGTACAACTTTAGTACGCGGAGTATCTTGGGAGCTGGAAGATGAGAACTGGCGACTTTGTAGTACAACTTTAGTACGCGGAGCAGTCATGTCTCCCGACCACCCGGCTCTCTTGAGAGGTTGACAAATTTTAGCGATTTTGCTTACTCAAAAGTGGTCATTTCGATTACTTTGTGGAACTTCAAAATCACATCATAGTTAACGTCTAGCTCCAGTTAGCTTTAGTGGAACTAGAGCTAGAGCTATGCTTCACTCATCGCTCATCACTCATGCGTCTGACTGAGGGACACGAGGGACACGCATGGTGGAAAGAACCGGGACACTCCTATAGGTCAATTTGTTCTTTTAGGAAACTTCCGCCGCCGGCTTGCCGGGAACTACTTGTAAGAGTGTAAGACAAGAGTGTCCTACAAGAGTGTCCCACAAAAGTGTCCGACGCAAGAGTGTTTCACAAGAGTTTTCCACAAGAGCCTGCCACAAGAGTGTCCTACAAGAATGACATACAAGAGTGTCGGACAAGAGTGCCCCACAAGAGTGTAGTGTCCAACAAGAGTGCCCTGCAAGTGTCCTGCAAGGGTGTCCCGCAAGAGTGTCCTACCAGAGTGTTCCGCAATAGTGTCCCACAAGAGTGTCATACAAGAGTGTCCCGCAAGAGTGTCCTACAAGAGTGTCCTACAAGAGTCACAAGAGTGTTCCACAAGTATGTCCGACAAGAATGTCCTCCAAGAGTGTCCTACAAGGGTGTCCCGCGAGAATGTCCTACAAGAGTGTTCTGCAAGAGTGTCCCACCAGAGTGTCATACAAGAGTGTCCCACAAGAGTGAGTGTCAAACAACGTGTCCCGCAAGGACTTCTGACAAGAATGCGTCCTACCTAAGAGTGTACCGCAAGAGTTTCTCGGAAGAGTGTCCTACAGTGCCTCGCAAGAGTGTGGTACAAGAGTGTCCCATCAGAAGAGTGTCCTACAAGAGTGTCTTACAAAGAGTGTTCCGCAAGAGTGTCCTTCAAGAGTGTTCGACGAGAGTTTCCCGCAAGAGTGCTCGACAAGAGTGCCCCACAAGACTTTTGCGCAAGAGTGTCCCACAAGAATGTCCTACAAAAGTGTCCCGCAAGACTTGTCCACAAGAGTTTCCGACGAGAGTGGCGGACAAGAGTGTCCTGCAAGAGTGTCCCACGAGTGTCCTGCAAGGGTGTCCCACAAGAGTGTCCAGTGTCCTACAAGAGTGTCCCACAACAGTGTCCCGCAAGAATGTCCGACAGGAGTGCCCAACAAGAGGGACAAGAGTATCCTACAAGAGTGTCCCACGAGAGTACAAAAGCGCGGTAGTACAAATGTAGTGCGGGAAGCGGCTTCTGGTCCCTCGCGCCTGAGAAACTGGCGGTGAACCGCTTGCTATTCAATTTCGAGACTTGGTTGAACATGGACGCGCCCAATACAATACAATGCTCGATTTGGAGGAGACACATGATTCTTGTACGGTTGTTAGGTCAAGTGCATTTGTGTTGTGAACCTGTGAATGAGAATATTATCACCAGCCCGAAATCGGACCACGATCAGATGGCGTGCTGAGACTTGTCAAAGCAAACCGACATCGTATCACAAAATTTTATTTTATACTCTTTTGTTACCCTTCCCTCGGCCTTGACACAAACGTATGCGAGCAGAGTGATGTTTTTTTAGATAGGCGCACCCCAAGAGCTTTGCCACAGAAAACTCGCAACTTGCGACGCACCCTATGCATGTCTTAAGCCTTAAACCACGCTCCACCTCTACTCTACTCCGCCCCGGAATCGTCTTTGAGAACAATGGCTTATGCTTTTTGGGCCCCTGAGTGAGTTTATCTTGGTTTGGCGTTGCTGCTTTTGGTGGGTGGGTTTTGAGACACTTTGCCACGGCAATCTTGTCACTGCTTCGATTAACATATTTGTTGTGTGGGAAAGCAGACCGGAACCAAGCCCTCTGCTAGGCTTGCTAAGCACTCAACATGGGCATCAGACGTTAGTTGTGTTTGAAGTTTAGAGTTCCAAACTTGTTTTGAGTTTGTGGGCCGTACAGGGCTGTGAGGCCGTACACATTTCTTGGACTCTTTCGACCGCGAAGCAAGAAACTTTAACAAGAAATTGAACAGAGTTCCTACCGCAAGACGGTGGAATGAGAAGCTGTTGGTTTGGCAACGCAATGTTGGCAATGCAACGCAGTTGCAGATACAGCCCACAGCCTTGCTGAATATTTTCTTTTGGAATACATGCTGCAAAGGCGCAGCTTGGCGACATCATGCACGTTTTGCCTTGTTTTCCAGAGATATTCTGTTAGTGCCTGTGTGTAGCAGCGGAAAACTTCCCGCGCCACGCATCCTTTTTCATCTCCCTTTGACCTCAAGTTAAGTTTGCGATCAACCTTAGTCTTGTTTTCCAAACAAGAATGCTTTAAGACATCCCTCAGTGCAGGAAACATTCAGCTGGACAAGCCAGTGCTATGGTGGTTCCTTGGATTTGCCCGTCGAAACAGCATCATAATCATATGTTATGTTTCATTTCACGCGCAGCTTGTATGCCTTGATGTACTTTACTCTGGCAGGTACAGAACATATGTACATGTACGAATGTAAACGCATGGTAGGCAGGCATATAGGAGCGCGACGCGTTCACCACGTTTCAAGCCCATTTTTATTGCAATTTGCACATTCCTCGTCTTGTTTCAGCGGCTCTTGAGAAACTTGTCAACTTTTGCGGTTTCTGCGGCAGAGGTGGCTGATTGCACTGTACAAGGTAGTGAGTCTTCTTCTGAACTGACCTTGATTACTGCTTGCCACAAGTCCCTTTCTCTGATCTTTCCTTTCTTTCGATTAGTCCAGCTCTTCCGAGTAGTTCATTGCATGCTTTAAGCCGAAAAAAATAAGAGCAATCACATGTCTCCCATGCACAAACTCTACGAACCGTCTGGTTGGCTTGCAATTGAGACATCGCGATTGCCTACCGAAACCATGTGTGCGGAAGCGCTACCGAAGCCATGTGTGCGGAAGCGTGAGACATCGACGTGATTGTATACCTTATGCTTCCACGTGTGCAGAAGCAAGAGACATTGCATTGATTGCCTCAGCCCCAGCACATAACGTGTCCTATATATGTGTCGAGCCGTGTTCCATGCAAGTTGGCGAGAAGTTTCTGATGTTATACAAGGTAGCTATTATATAGTCATTTGTAATTTAATTGTAGCCCTACACATCCAACGACGCAGTTTTCGTGGGATGTAGGACATGTGGAAATGTGACAGTTTAACATTTTATTTGACGTTCAAAAACATTTGTTAAGACATGTTCGTGAAAAATACATATATATATATATTTTCCGTTATTTTTATTATTGTTGTTACTATTCTTATTGTTATTATATATATATATGTCTTGTTGCCACGCATGGCATGTTCGAGTGACAGAAACTTTCGGCGCAAGCGCATGTGAGGAAAAGCTCGAGCGTCCTTCAGGGGAAGGAGTGTCTCCGCTATTGGTAGCGGAGCCTGCTCACAAAGAGCAGGCTCCAGCCATGGCTCTTTGATTTGACCTTCAGGCGAAGGTCCCCACGCATGGCATCTATGTCGTCGTCATCCACCACGGAAAGTGGTTTCAGGTTCTCGGGGGACTCCGAGGATGGGCGTGAATACAAACGTTGGAAGCAGTGGGTGAAGAATAAGCTGTTGACATTGGACAAGTTGGCTGAATCCTCCCGACCCGCATATATTTACACCTTGTTGACTGGGAAGGCTTTGGAAGCTGTTGAACATTTGGTTCCCGAGAATTATCAAAAGAAAGGAGGTGACGAGATCCTATGGCAGCTTCTGGACAAAAGATTCCCGCAACAAGAGGTGGTCGATGAGCTGGGAGAGATTTTGACGCAGGTCTTCAGCCTCAAGTCCAACGACGGCGAGACTATGAAGCAGTGGACTGCCAGAGCCTCTGAATTGCTGGAACGCTGTCATCGGAAGACTGGCGTGTCGTTTCCTGAAGAAGCCAGAGGATGGCTATTGTTGCACAGGTCCGGTTTGACGGACGAACAGAAGGCAGTGGCCATCGCCCGAGCCAATGGTGATCTGAAGAGAGAATCCATAGCCGCTGCACTCAGGTCATGCTATCCAGACATGGTCCTCTCATGCAAACGTGTTGGAATGGCTGTTGCAGAAGAGCTTGACACAGGCGGCGGTGAAGGCATCGCCGAGCAGTTGGACGATTGCTTTTCTGACGTTGAACAATTGTTGGATGATCATCAACTTGGTCAGGAAGCCACTCAAGAGACGGAGACGTTTCAGGAATCCGAGGTCGCAGAGGTCCTTGCAGCCACTTGGAAGGAGAAAAGGCAAGAGCCGAACCGCTTGCAGAAGACCCGGCAATTTCAGAAAGCTCGAGATGTAAAAAGAAGCTCCCGCGTTGAAATTGAGGAGATGAAACGCAATTCAACTTGCAATCGATGTGGACGCAAAGGGCACTGGGCCGTGAATGTCGCTCCAAGGAGTCAGTGAAAGGACAAGGCAAGATCAAGACTCCTGGGACAAGCTCAACCACGGGGGCAGCACTGGTTGAAGAATTAGATTTTGTGGCCTCCGTCACTGCCCGTCCGACGTTGCTTGATCGAGTTCGGTCGCGTGTTGCTGGAAAGCGGGAGCATGAGTGTCTTCCTCCCGCATCAGAGATATTGCTGGTTTCATCCCCCGGATACGGTGTGCTCGACTCCGGCTGCGGCCGGACGATTGTGGGAAGGTCCACTCTCAAGGCCTTTGAAAAGTTGTGGATCCAACGCGGTTGGTCGTTACCCCAACCCATTGCTGAGGTGCACCAGTTCAAATTCGGAAACGGGGAAGTCGAGACTTCCACGGTATCCATACAAATGCCGGTCGTGCTGGCCCAGCGCAAGGGCGTGATCCGAGCTGCAGTGATCAAGGGAGATGCTCCACTTCTCCTTAGTAGATCTGCTCTCAAGACCTTGGGAGCCACCTTGGATTTTAAGCGTGATTGTTTGCATGTTTTTGGCACGAGTGCCCCTTCGCACCAACAGTGTGTCGTTGTTGGGTGAGAGTGTTGATCCCGTGCCCGCAGCTGCTTTCACCGAAGTGATGGCCTCAGTTGAAGAACCTGAGGAGCAAGCGGCTGAACCACTCAGCCCAAAGTCAGGAGTGCAGGTGACAGCGGAGACTCGTGAATCCAAGGATGCTGACGATGCGCCCCGGTCCGGCCCGCGCCTCCAGCGCCCCAGAGGTGTGAAAACAGATGTATCTGATACATCTGCCAACGAGCCTTCCAAGTCAGCCATGTCGCCTCCTCCAAACCTGGCAGCAAGAGGACTGTGATGTTGTTTCCACTCCATGGCTCTCACATGAAGGGCCCTCATGGAAACATGTCTTTCGACGACGAGTCACGGAAAGTGACACTGGCCGTGTTTTAGATGATACGACAGTATAGATCCAGGGACTGCGCAACACAAAACGATTGTTCGCTTTTTCGATCGCGCCGCCCATGTGAAGACTGAATTTTTTTTCCTTTGGGATACCATCATCAGTGCCGCCAACTGGGCCAACTGCATCGACAAGCTCAAATGCGTCTAGCTATCCAGGAGAGAAAACAGAAAGAACGGTGTTTGGTCATGGAAGTGTTCTCCCCTTGAAGGTTCTCCACTGTGGCTGAATCGGCTGGTTTTCGTGCCAAGTCATCTGATTTGATCAATGGTACGATTTTCGCCTCAGCCGCCACAGGAAATCCGTGGAACAAGACCTCTTGACCGAGAAGCCCGCTCTTCTGGTGCTGTGTCCTCCTTGCACCAATGAAGGCGGATGGATGCACTTGAATAGTTCAAAGTGGGATAGAATGGAGTATCTAAAAGAAGAGCGCAGAGTCGTAGCTATATCCGATGGTGTTGCCGCCTGTTTCAAATGCAAGTGTCTGTCGGGGGAAGGGCCATGTTTGAGCAACCTACGGGTTCCATGATGTGGTCATACCCAGAGGTCCAAGCCCTTTGTTGTAGGTACACCACGGTTAAGCTGCACATGTGCAGGTACGGCCTGCAACTGCCTGAGAGCAATAGATTCATCCGCAAGAGCGCACGACTGTTGGTGACTCATGAAAACATGTCGTGCCTCGGACTTACTTGCGCCGGTGAAGGCGAACGCGCAGTTCATGACGTATAGTGGCAGGCAGTGCCCCTGTGTCCGCAGTATCAGTGATATGCTGGTAGATACCCCAACAAGTTTGCGCAAGCTGTTTTGGAAACGGTCGAGGCTTATCATGAATCCCATAATGAGTCATTGTCAGCGCAGCCCGATGAACGCACCACTCTCAAAGTCCTTGAGGACAATTTCCCAGGCAAATGCTGGAACGAAGTCTTGGCGGCAGGTTCCGCTGGCCAACGCACGGATGCTGAGATGCTACAGGCGTTGACCAAACTCCATCGCAACTTAGCGCGCCCTCCTAACTGTGACATGGTTCGAATTCTGCGTCATGGTCAGGCCCATGAACAAGCGCTGAGATTAGCCAAAGATTTCTTATGCGATTTCTGCAAAAGTCAGGCCAGACCTAAGGTACCCTTGCCGGCCAGCCAAATCGAGTTACAGAGTTCAATAAGCAAATTGCCATCGATGTCAAACATTTACAGGGGTGGCATCCGAACCAAAAGTCAAGGCTCTCAACATAGTTGACACAGCCAGCAGTTTTCAGCGGATGACCCCTTTCTTCCAAACGGAGACCTCTCAACTCTTGCGGAGTTTGTTGAATGAGCACTGGATCGCATGGGCTGGTCCAAATCATGAGATCATCATGGACCCAGCAAGAACCAATCTGGGTGATCCCATGACCATTCCAGCTGAACTGGACAGTACTCATGTCAGACCCATGTGCCCATTGGCAGCTAGGGAAATTTAAATGTGAGTCTCACGGTGGTTGGTTTAATCGGCCTAGTGGATGATTACAACCCCAAAAGCAAAGAAGAATGGTTGGAGTGTGTCTCTCATGCCCATATTAAGAACCAGATGCTCCAGGTCCACGGATATTCGCCTCACCAGTTCGTGTTTGGTCGAAACCTCAATATCCCTCGACCTAAATGAGCCTCTGTCCATCGTCCCAGCCAGAGCATCTTTGACAGAAGAAGCCATCAGCCGGACCCAGTCGATGTGAGCCTCTGCTCGAATGGCTCTGATCCAAATGCAGGACAACCGTGCGCTGCGAGTTGCCTCGCTGTGCCTGGTGCGTCCACGTCTGCCGCGTCTGGGCCCTATGGACCAGTACGCCGAAGGGTGTCGGGAAAGGATGGGCCAATGTCTTTGTGGCGCCCTCCAGCCATGAGACAAGAGGATTTCGTAGAAATCACGAAAGAAGTTGTCCCACAGTTGGTCGAAGACGTGTTCATGAACAGCTCTAAGCGTCCCTGGTCTCCATCAGGATCTGAGCAGGTTAGAACTGAAGAACCAGCCACTTCCCGACCCCGGATCGAGACCGATGAAGCTTTGAGTGTTCAGGACATCTCTTCTCTGCATGCCCTGTGTGATCAAGGTTCTTGGGATTGTTTGATGGCCGAGTATTTGAAGAAAACGATGTCAAAGGAAATCCCTCATAGTAACAATCCGCCCGAGTTGCAAAAGAAAGTGCAAGCTGGTAAATGCGCAGAGTGGGAAACAGTTGTGTCAAAACCTCGCTCAGTGAAGTTGCGCTTTGGGAAAAGAGCCAAACAAATTAAAGAACAGCATGGTGACCGCTTTATCGGAAGTAGGCTTGTTCTTACGCGTAAGCCTCTCGAAGAAGGCCAGGTGCTTGACCCAAGCGATGTCTCTACCTTCACCGTGAAGGGACGGTGGTGCCTGCAGGGCCACTTAGACCCAGACCTTGAGGCCAAGGCCGAACAAGGTTTGTTGAAATCGCCGACGCTCTGTCAGCTCGGGCGAATGTGCCTCCTCCAAGTGATTGCATCGAAGAAGTGGGATTTGCAGCTTGGCGACATTAAGGGGGCTTTCCTAGAGGCCGGTCCCTTGAGTCCAGCTTTTCGTCCTCTCTATGCCCACCAACCTACCGGTGGGATCCCTGGGATTCCTGAAGACGCGGTGATTGAGATAGTAGGCAACCTGTACGGGCAAAATGACGCACCATCGGCGTGGTTTCGAGAGTTTAGTGGCTTTGTAAATTCCCTTGGGTGGCATCAGAGTGTTCTTGACCCATGCTTTTCACTTTGCGTAATGCCTCGGATAATTCCCTGTGTGGAGTGATGGGGGTCCATGTCGACGACGCAGCCACTGGGGGAGAAGGTGCGCTGTTTCGCGAATCGATCCGAAAGCTCCGGGAGACTATCGAAAATGGAGAATTCGTGGTGGTGAGTTTGTGGGGCATGGTATGAACAAAAGAAAGATTCAACGATTGTGATGTCCATGAAGAGTTTTGCTGAACAGATCCATCAATGTGCCAAAGAACAGTGCCTCGACCGAGCTGTTGTCTCGTGAAGATTCTGCAAGCTGTGAACAGAAGCTTGAATTGGCTATCTTCTCAGTCAAGACCAAACCTGTGTGTTCAGACCAGTCTGTCACAGCAACCATTACCTCAACCAACCATCGAAGACTTCCGCGTGGCGAATCAGGCCATAAGACGTGCCCGCCAACGTCAGGACCTAGGAGTGGCTTTTAGTTCCATTCAGTGGGAATCACTGACAGTTGTTTGCCACAGTGACGCCGCTTTCGCATATCGAGGAAATCGCATCCAAGCCGGTTACATCATTGGTTTCACTGATAAGAAACTTCAGTTGGGTTTCGAAGCTCCTTGGAATCCTGTTTCTTGATGAAGTTACCACCTGAATCGGGCAGTGAGTAGCACGCTGGCAGCTGAGAGTCAAGCCATGTCAGTCGCCTCAGGAACGACCGAATGGATCCTGTTGCTTTTGGCTGAAACGCTTGATGGACCACTCGACATAAGACATTGCCGAGATGTGCTCAACGACGTCCATTGAGGACCGACGCACCAGCGTCGATGTTGTAATCGCAAGAGAGAGCTGAGAAGCGAGCGCACGAGTGCTTTAGTCCGGTGGGTTCCGACAAATCGCATGCTTGCCGATGGTCTCACCAAAGACGCAGGGGATCTCACCGACCTCCTTCGAGCCTGCATGAGAAGGGCTACATATCAGATATCCCCAGAGTCCACTGTTTTAGAAATTCAAGCTGCAGAGAAACAACTCCGAAAACAAATGCAGCAACAGCGCCAACAGAGTCCCGAAGGGCTGTCAACACCTGAAGGGGAAATCATTTGAACTGGAAGGGGTCGGATTCGATACTGATTGGGATGCATTGTGTCAGGGTTTATAGTATCCTACTGATCCGTTTTTGCTTTGCGCGCCGTTTCATATCCACATCGTTGTGTGACTTTGCAGCCGTTTTGACTGAGCGGCCTACCAAGGGCCGATCTGAAGACTCAACGCCTCAGTTGCAGCGCGTGTCCTTGCGGTTTCCTCCTAGCCATTTCAATGGCTGGTCCAAGTCAGCGTTTGTCGCCGGCAGTTGCAGAATTGCTGCAGTGCATTCGTGATGAGGGACCCATCGCATCCCTGATGCAAGAGCTGGAGCATGAATTTTTTGACTTTGAAGTTGTGAGCGGATCTCATGACCATGGGTCCATGACCGACGCATCCAAGAGGCGAATGGTTGAGGAACCAATGCCTCCTCGCCAGATGCCTTCGGTTGCTCCAAGCACTCGCGTGACCAAGTCACATGGACCGAGCTTGCTTCCTGCAGGCGTCCAGAGCACGGAAGAATGGGCTGGTGACGGCCGGAAAATTTGAGAAACAAGATCTCTCATATGCTGACCGTCGACCTGGCCTCATCAAGTGAAACAGCAAAGGTGAAATATGTGCAATGGATGGTCAACCAGAGCAACCGAACTGACCTATCTCCAGTGATTCAGGACATGGCACGTTTCTTTGCTGTCTACACCCATGAGAAGCAAAAGGATGGACCATGCATTCCCGGTTCCAGCACGGTGCGCAAGTTCAAGGCCTGAAGGCGCAAGCTGATGAGATGGCCGCGTGTCGTTGCATTTCGAAAGCACACCTTGAAAGATATAAGCCTTAGGAAAGGCGAAGCAAGAACCCATGCTTTCGAATTTTAGACTTTGTAATGAGTCTTGTTGCCACGCATGGCATGTTCGAGTGACAGGGACTTTCGGCGCAAGCGCATGTGAGGAAAAGCCCGAGCCTTGTTGTACCAGCGCCATGCTTTGTAAACATCCTCGCACGCCAATCTCTGTCCTTCTCTCGTCCTGCTGTTGTCCGCCTGAAGCTTGCCTGGACCGCGCCCGACTGACAATGGAAGGGCTTCTTTGAAGGTCATGCGTGCGCGCGGGGAGCTTGCGTTGGAGCGCTTGCTTCGCATTGCGCGCGCTCCCTTGCCTGTCCAATTTTTCCGTAAGCTTCTCAAGCTTTTTTTGGTGCGTGCCAGCGTGCTCCAGGCGCGCTCGGAGAGTGTGCTCTGGAGGGCGCGCTCCGGCGTGCGCTGTATATGTGCTGGCAGCGCTCCGGGCACGCTCGGCAAGTGTTTGGAGGGCACGTTACAGGTGCGTTCTGTAACGTGCTGGCAGCGCAATTTGAAGAACGGTGTCGCTGTCTAGTCTGGCGAGCGCCCTCTTTAATTCGTGTTCAGGCGCGCTCCAGGCGCGCTCTGTGAACCTTGATGGGAGTGTGTTTTGGAGCCTTTGTGGAAGATGCTGGGACCCCGCTGTTGGGTGCGCTTGGGAGCACGTCCTTGTCGTCCTCTTGTCCTCTTCTCCTCCTCCGCTTGTCCTTCTCCTGTCCTGTTGTCGTCCTGTGGCTTTCTCTTGTCCTGCTCTTGTCCTCCTCTTCTCTTGTCCTTCTCTTGTCGCCCTCTTGTCCTCCTTCTCTTGTCCTGTTCTTGTCGTCTGGTGGCCACGTTTGCGAGCCCTGTTGGTCCTCCTGGTGTTCCTGCTGTCCTAGTGCCACAGTTGCCAAGCCCGTGCTTCGTTTTGTTTGTCCAGGTCTGCCTGTCCTGCTTGTCCACGTTGTGGGCCCTTTATGACCGCCTTATCCGGGCCTTGTCATGCAACAGTGATACAGCGATCGAAATGTGATATCACCATCGGATCTTCTCATGACTCTCATGACATATACTCGGTATCCCATCGTTTTGCGCATGTGACACAGGCATCAGGAACTGGTGTTTTCAATAATTTATTGTTTAGCATCATCGTCATCATCGACGTCATCATCATCATCTTCAGTGTCATCCTCATCATCGTCGTCGTCATCGTCAACATCATCATCATCATCGTCGTCGTCGTCGTCGTACTTGAGCAGAGACGTGGGTGATGCGCCTGCTATGGTACAGGTGTGTCGATACAGGCGTTGAGATGCAGGTGTTTGGATACAGGCCTTGAGATGCAGGTGAACACTACCAAAACCGACCTTTACAACGACATCTTTCTAATCTTCTCTTAAGGCAGTCGCAGAAGCTGCAGATGAAAGGGCCAGTTCTGAGGCCACAGCTCTCAAAAGCTGCTTCCCGTATACCGCGTTTGTAGCCCTACATTGCGCTATACAGTTCTCAGTCCCGGAGGCCACAGTCGGCGAGAGTTACACGCATTGGCAACTTCCACCTTGATTTTTGACGCAAGTTGGCAACTGGACACGCGCGATCGCCGCAAAGGGTTCACCAAGGACTAAGAACACCTAAATTTGCGTTTGGCATCACGTTTGAGAACTCCACGCGCACGATCCCCGCAAGGGGCTCACCTGCATCTGTGCACTTGTATGATGATGATGATGATGATGATGGCAGTGAGGATGATGATGGCAGTGAGGTTGATGATGCAGGTGTCTTGTATGAATTACATCAGTCACCTGCGTCTCTAGACGTTGATGATGATGATGGTGATGATGGTGGTGATGACGATGACGATGACGACGATGATGATGATGACGATGACGATGTAGGTGTGTTGTGGACGTTGCATCGCCTGCGTGCGGTTAACTGATCATGATGATGATGTTGTTGATGCTGGTGACGACGACAATTGTAATGATGATGTTGACGATGACTGAGAAGAACAACAGCAGAAGAAAAAACACATCACAAAAATAAAGCATAACAACAAGATTAGGAGCAGGAAAAAACAAAGAAAATGACAATTGAACAATAGAAAATGATGATGACGATGACGATGACGCCGATGATGTTGATGATGATGATGATGATGATGACGATTGGACAGTTGAAAGTGGTAGCCGTTCTTTACACAGAACCCTTCGCAGGTGCCTTCACAAAAATGAAAAACCAAAGGATTGTTATGAAGCAGAGAGTACAGTTCTATTTAAGGGCTGCCGCCCCTGCCGCCGACCCCGGATTCTCAGGTCCGGCTTTTCCTCCACTGGTTGGCGTTGCGAGGGTTTTTCGAACAGGGGTTTCAGTCGTCCTTTTAAAGGTTGCTCTTCTGGAATCGTCGTTTCTTTCCGGTGTCGAGGTCGGTGCCCGTGCGGAGCGTTTCATTGCCTGCTCTCTGGATTGTTTGCTAGCATTTTCCACCACTAACCAGCCTCCCAAAAAGCATCTGAAACCACCCCT